AAATATTTTATATATATTTTCCATTTTTATACAAGATTAATTTTCGTACAACAAGACTAATTATAACATAAGTTAATTAAAACATAAATATATTTAACTGATATACCCAAAAAAGCCTATTTTTAAAATAATTTTCCATTTAAAATTATGTATGAACAAAAAAACCTATAGAGAGCAATAAATTTGTAAACGTCAAAATATTCGATACAACAAACTCATATCTCCAGGCTGCGTTCCTGAAAGCGAACGAGTCGCAAAATTTTCTGTCATAAAAAATCAAGCTTTTTTTTGTCAAACTTAGTACTATCATCAACTTAAGTACTATCATGTAAATCGTACATTCTTTTTAACAGTTTATATAATACCATGATAATATTATAAATTCCATGATAATGAAAAAAATCAATGACAAGTTTCTTTGTTGTCAAATCATATAGTGTAGTTAAAGAACAAACATATATTTTAATTTTGCATAAAATTTACAACAAAATTAAATAGATTTTTTTATCGACAAATTTATTGTACATTATATGCAATCCAAAACATTGATAGCTCACATTTAATTACATAAAAGTCATCAATTATTTAACAGAATATAGTACTGTGCATGATTCTATAAAATATTCGTGGATTTTATAAAATCTCATCAGCTTAGTTGCCTTTAATTTATCTAATGAGAATCGGTATTTCTAATCACCTCCACGCGAATTTGATTTACCTGAGATTAAAGAAGTAGCAGAGCACTCCGCAGAAGACGAAGATCTCGATGAGACCGTCCATTCTTGCTCTAGATGCTAGAAGATTGGTCGAGAGAACAAAAAAAATAGAGAAAAAAAAGGAGGGGAAAAAACGGAAAAAAAAACGGAAAATAACCGAGTCCTACGAGCACTACACGTTTGTCAATCGATCAGATACTGCTCGATGCCACTGCCATTGATCGTTTCTCACGATCGGATCGATGATTAACAACGTCGCGGGATCGTCGGCTTCATCGATCGCGCGGTCCTTGCGATCCATGGATCGGAGCAGTGCTCACCTCGCTCGCGTGAGAGCGGATGGATCCCTCGCGGCGTTCTCGCGGCGATCCCGAATTCCCGACACGGCGGCTTAGGCTACCGTACGATCGCACCAGTACTTCGGCTAGCCCGGTCGATCCGGCGTCGTCGACTATCGTCGACTTTCCACCGCGACACGTTAAGTAACCCGGCGAATCGCTCCGTCGCTCGCCACCACCGCCACCGAGGACGGTTCACTGACTCACTGACTCCACTCGGCGGTGTGCCGGCCGTGATGCATACACGCGTCCATGCCTGCCCTGCGTGCGTGCGTGCGTGCGTGCGTGCGTGCGTGCGTGCATTCGAATGCGTTTTTCAAGGTACGCCGTTCCGGAGCGCGTGACCTTCTGGATCACGCGAATCGGAGGGGAGCCCGCGAGCGGGAGTTGCACAAGGATCGCGAAGGATCGCTCGGATGGATTTCACTGTCAGTCGCGTCGATCGAGCTTGGATACGATTCGGATAGATGCAATTTTTTAGTCGCAGAACGTCCGTCCACACAGCTGATTCGATCGGAAGAGGCGAGAGGATAAAGAAATTTTTTAAATGCGCAATTCTTGCATAATTCTCTCTCTCTCTCGAGAAAAATCGTGAAAATCGAGAATTATCCATATCTATTTTGTTAAATTACATTAAACTTTTATGTGACACGCATGTATTACTATACACAGTTTCAATAATTAACCACGGTTGTTGCGTCATCAACTGTAAGATCCAAAAGGTACCAAAAGTTTGTAATTATTGTATCAAGATTGAGATAAAAAAAAATCAGTCTTTACTTTTTTTAATCTTGATCAAAGAAGCAAAAGATAAAGATTGATATTATCAAGCATATATAATATATATTTTTTTATACGTAGTATAGATTGTAGGTCACACGTGTCTTACTCCGCGTCATAATTCCCGTTATTAAGAATTAATCGTCAATGAATTTCTATGACACGCAAAGTAAAAAAATCTAACAAACTTCGATTAACAAACATATGAAATATTCATTTAGTATTTGTACACGTTAAAAATTCATTTTTTATTCAGAAACAATTGGGATGTAAATTGTTACCGAGCAATAAGAATTGTCATCGTACGTGAAAAGAAAAGTGAAGAATCACTCTTTAGCATTTTAGAGAGGGTTACAGTATAGTCGTCTTTAGAAGTTGTGAAATGCGAATGCATTATGCTCGTTCGAATGCGACAAATAGGAAAAAAAACCACGCTATTTTTAACTTTGCACTTTGTACAAAGTTTAGAAAAATTTAAATAAAATTTTATATCATGTCTAGAAAATTTAAATTATCGTTATCGACGAGTTGTTATTTATAAAAAGATTATAAATTCATCAAATTAAAATTTGATACCATATTTATAAATCTTTTTTATCTATAAATTTTATAGACAGAGATAGATTTCTTTAATCTTCCGCCATATTTCATCTCCTTTGAATGGTAAGACAATTGCAAAAGATGAATGTGCTACTCGACTCGTGAAACTTTCTCTCACGTATCTTTCGTCGGATTTGTCGGTCCGAAAGGCGATCCCTAGGAAAATCTATGACTTTCACATGATTAATTTCACGATTAATTTCAAGTGATTAAATGAAAACCGAGATCGAATTAACGTCACGCACTTGTACTATGCGCTCATAGAAAATCAGAATGAAAAGTGAACTATCAGCCGAAGTTCAACGATCATTGGAACAAGATTGATACACAAGATAAGAGAGTGATGTATTGATAAATCAATAAAAATATTCAGACTATATTTAAGTCGAAGACAAATAGCAAAGGTGAAAGAAAGAGAAATGAAAAATTTTTTTAAAAATTAACGAGATGATATCACACACAGTTATCTTTTTTTAATCATCAGTCAAGTTTTGAAAACGGAAGATGTGAATTCTCTTTGAATCACCCAAAGTCGATCTCTCGAGATGTTAAGAAGTCTTTGAATACTCCAATACATTCGATCGTCGAAACTGTTTCTAATAATTTTTGACGCGTTTTCAACAATTGATTGGTGCTCAAGATGCGTGTCGTCCAACGCGGCGATTCACACTCGACGCGAGTGTCGCGGAGAGAACGAACTGTGACTGCGTCCGATTGCATCCAACTGCATTCGTTGACTGGCATACAACAGACGAACAAAGAAAGGTCGATCATCCGCTTTGCAATGAGCAATGCTGTGCAACTCCAGAATTCCAGAATCGTGGAATCGTGGCTTCAAGCTAGCACAATGAGTGGTGCCTAGCTTTTTCTTCCAGATAAAAACACATGGCCTGCCGGAGAATAAAACAGAATAGACAAAGTGGATTGAACGGTCACGTTTAATATATTTAATTGCGGCGGAATCGCGTTACTTGGACACGACCAATCGGATTACACCAATGCTCCAGCGCTTGCGACAGAAGCGTGCTTTTAATTGCCGCTAAATAAGCGCGTGTTTATTGTGATTAACGAACAGAATACACGAGAATGCGTAAACACGGAAGATAACGTCGAGATAACTTCCATAAAAGACAGCTTTAAGCTTTTATCGAATTTGTAAAAAAAAATAAACGAAGGACACCAAAAAAGGACACCTATCATTTTGCACGATTTTTTTATCAGAAATAAAATTGCACAATCTTGATTAAAGTTTGGAATCAAATTTAATTTAATGGAATTATATGCATTTCCGATTCTTTTAATATCAATGATTTTTTTCGATGTCACATGAGAGGGAATAGCCAAAGCCATTTTAATACCTTTGGAATGAAAGTTGAAATTCAATGAAGATGATTAGATTGATCTGGAGATATGAGTTTGTTGTACCGATACGAAGTACGTACACAGAATCGAAGTCTATTTTCGTTTCGTTGTGCAAGGACGCGGTGTGTCCAGCTCCGGGCTCTGTTTAGAAAATTCTTGCGATCAGATATACCGCAGTCGGTTTCCGAGCCGTGAATTAATCCCATTGAAAGCCCTTAGGCGTTTTATAATGGTCCTCATTGTACGTCAATTTGCGAATGTGCATTAAAATCCCCGCGGACCAGCCCCGCGGTCGTCCAGGAAGGTACATATCTGTGATTTGTACGAGTACATTAACTCGTCGCATACGAAACATTTTATCCTAATGTTACTTAATGTTGAATTAAAAATCACTTGTTTTTTTGAAAACAAGTGTAAAACTAGATGTGTTGTATACGCTTTAAACGCTTGAGCTATATATTGCTCGAGACAATTTTTTTATTTGTCATATTTTCATCGATACGAAATCGTAATTTTTATTGTATACAAATGTATAATATATCAACAATAATGTATTGTACGTGCATGTAATTAAAAAAAATTATTTTCATTATTTTACAATGATAGACACGAGAAAGAAAAAGTTGTCGTATATACAATTATAAATAATAATTATATAAATGGATTATATAAATGGATACTAATAAAAAAGAAAAATATAGTATTACATCAGTAAGGTAAAATAAACTCTGACCCATTATAAAATTTCATTAGACGCAATTTCTATGCTTATTTTAATCGATTTGTGTCTAATTATTCTTGACAAGAATAATCTTGTTAAAGATAATCTTATTAAGTAAGTAATCGAACTTGTATTTTCTTTCTGTGTTATAAAAGTGTTATAAAAGAAAGTAGCACGTTGAAAATGTTTACAAAGAATGATGAAACATCTATATTCATTTATATAATTATTATTTATACTTATGCAAAACACTTTTTCTTCGTAGCAGTTTATTATGCAAGGTAAACACAAAAATTTTTTCACATGAAAATTTTTCAATGATATTCTTTTTAAATGATATGAAATATATATTAAAAATATATGTGACATATTTATCATAATTTTCATTATATTAAATAAAAATATAATTTTATAAAATTACAAAAACAAACAAAAAAGAGAGAAGACTTGTGCCTTATGTTTATTTAACATAAGTACCTATATTCCAATAAGTACCTAATATTTCCAATAAGTAATAATTCCAGAAATATTTTTGATCATATTTATTTCTTTTTGCAAATTAATCATCTAATGGATTTCTTTCTATCTAATAGATCAACAGATATTTCATTTAGTAATCAAATAGACATTTAATTAATGACTCTCCATAAATGTTTCATTAAATTTAATAAATGTATATATTTCAATCTTGAAAACTAATATATTCAAAACTCTATTATCTTATACAAATTGTAATAAAACAGTTTAATATATAAACCAATTATAACATATTTTATTAATTTGATTTAATTCTTATTTGATTTTCATATAATTTTTTTATAATTCATTAATTTTTTTCAAATTATATTACATTTAAAAAAAAAGAAAGAAATTGTCATATATATATATATATACCATATAATAGTCAATCACTTATAAATCATGTCTATATCTATGGGACCTAATTCTTGGTTGTATATATTTATATATATAAAAATTTATAAAGCCCATACTATATATATATTTTTAATTTGTCTTCTTTTTTTAATTTATATGTAATGTTTATTAAAATATAATCCATATGCTGCATATTATTATTAATCTTTTCTGGCTTCTTAATGAAAAAAATTTCCATAAATCACAATGTTGCGTCCTTTTTGAACCCATACTTCTTTTCAGAGAAGCAAACATACAATTTCGAAGATTACGCATCAATTCCTGTCGCAATTACCTCTCTCAATTGGCTTATAATTAGCGTGTAATGCATATTTTATTCCGCGCAAACAATATAACTACAGTACAAATACAATGCAATACAGCTCAGATCAGCTCAGATCTCGTAATACGCGTCATCATCCCAACTCCCAACGGATGCTGTGGAAGCAGCCATAACCTCACATAACCTCACAAAAGAAGCGCGAGTAATCGTGACCGAAATGTGACAATGGTAACTCACCTCTCTGATGAATGCTCAAACAGGATTCTTTGATGATTCCGCTTGTGATTCCGCTTTCGTGAATGTACTCTGAACGATTCCTTATGTATCACGCCATTAACCATCCGTCAAATTCGGACCGCGAAAACATCATCACACATCCCACACACGTGGATATATATGTAGATGGATGTGACGTATAGTGCACACATTCCGAAGAGGAGTAACGGCACGTGAATTGAAGTTGACTTCAAACGGAATCGCATTTTGCGTTTCCTCTTGCAAAAATTAAGCGGCCTCTTGCAAAAATTAGGCGGCGTACATACATTGCAATATTCGCAAGTTGTATCAACGTATATGCCGCGATTTTTTTATTTTGTCGAAAGCATCACGTGTTATGTAAAATTGCATTTCAAATTCGGTGACAGACCTGTTATTTCCTCAGCTGAACTTTCTGCACCGTTGATCTTTCTTCCTTTTTTTCTGTAATGGAAAGGAAAAAAAGAGAAAAGATAAACGGTGCGAAAAGTTCAGCTAAAAAGAACAGATCCCGTATCTGTTTCAAAGCTAATTCAGCTATAGTCGATAAAGTTAATAGCAATTTTGCCGTTTGTAGATATTTTTTGTATAATTTTTATTATTATTGGACTTAAATATGCAAAAAAAATTTATATTTATACTAAACTAATTCCCATTTAGATTATCGATATAGATTAACTTTAATCTAAGTTTAATTTTTACTTTTCTTCATTTTTTTTAATTCTAAAAATTAGAGAAAGAATAAAATATTATTAATTTTAAATAAAAATGGATATATAACATTTATTTATTGCAGTCAAAATAATCGATAGCAGCATCCTTCAATTATCTTCGGATTCTTGTAATGCTCGATTCATAGTTAAGAAAAAAATTTATTCAGGATCAATAATCTTTAATAATATCGTAATGGCCATGTGTAACGATTGAACTGTGACATTCAACGATTTACGCGGTTACAAAAGTTTTTCCGGAGCGATTAGGTTCCATGGATTAGCCACAAATGCGCACCAAGTGCACGAAACTAGAGTGAAGAAATATGGCCGCGATGGTTGACAATGCGTGTTGCTTGACGAAATATCGCCAGTGATCAGCCAGGATGATCGCCTTCTACGTTTCGTGACGAGCGAGGCTTCGCTTCGGTAATTAGCATTCCTAACGATATGGAGTTAGGCCTGTCCAATACGGTGCTGGCCGGCGATCCACGTCTGATCGATCATATAGTGGGCGAAGTTAAATCCCAAGGTATTTTCGATCAGTTTCGCAAGGAATGTATCGCCGACGTTGATACAAAGGTAATTTTCGTAGTCTGATTCCAGCCAATAAACTCTGTGAAAGAATTTGAATTTTCCCCTGATCTCTTCGATATAGAGGTTAGGTCAAACATTTAAGATAAGCATTGGGTAAAAAATATATTCCAATTATTATTATTTTTACAACAAGATAGTCATTTATATAATTTTATAATATTTTATATATAACGATTTTTTTATAATGACATATTATTGCTGTATCTCTTTGGATAAGGCTTTGATTCTTAAACAATTCGATGTTTTGCTATTACCTATCAATGTAAATTAATTTTAATTTTGGGAGAAACAAGAAAGTTTTAGTATAGTATTTCAGTAACAAAGAATAGGCTTTTTAGATTAATTTAATAAATAATATATAACTTTATATTTGATAATATATATATAATTTCAGCCTGCTTATCAAAATCTAAGGACAAGAGTTGAAGGCTCTGTGAATTCTTTTCTTAGTAAGCAAACATGGAAGCCAGATTTAAACAAGAATCAGCTCAGGGAAACTTTGCGCAAACAGATACACGATGCGCCATACCTAGATGCTGGTGTGGAACGGATAGTAGACCAAGTAGTAAATCCCAAGGTCTATTCTGTCTTTATGCCCCAGATAGAAGATGTTGTGTACAAATTTTTGGGTATAGAAAGACCAAAAGCAAAGGAAAAGAATGGTTGTGGTCTCAAAGATTTGTTACCTAAAGATTTGGACCCAGTTTCACCAGAATCTGATAAGAACAGTTTGAAGGATGAGTCTCTTGAATCCTTAGACATAAACGATACAAGTGATCTCAATGGAAAACAGGATGACAAGGCTGATGAACAGAAACAAGACGAAGAATCATGCAGAGATAAAAATAAAGTTGATTCTGAAAATGGACACATAGAGGAAAAAACATCGGACGAAGTTTATAAAATGAACAAAACTGGAAGTAATTCCAATTTAAACACATCTTCAAAATCAGATGACAAAGTAGACGAAGAGGAGGAAGAAGTCAGTCCAACATTTGAGCCTATTGATATTATGAACTTGAATGAATCCAACATCTCTAATGATTCACATTTATCAGGAATATCGGAATTAACGAGTCACAGATCCAGAAGCCCAGATTTCTCCAACGAATTGTCGCGGGATAATTTCGAGTATAGTAATCAAGATTCTCAACTTAGCAAAGTTTCTTCAGATTCTCGGCTTTCAATAGTGACAGATTTTGGTTCCTCTAATCATGATTTAACTCCAGTACATGATTCATCAAGAGATGAAACAACAAAGGATAAATATGAGACTAAAAGTAATAAAGACAATTTCAAGGCGATCAGGGAGTTGGATTCGTCTAAGAACAAAACGATTAAAAACAGTTTTGACTTTGCCAAAAGTAAAGACGATTGTAAAGATACGAAAGATTTTAAAAGTACTAAAAGTGTATCTTCCAAAGAAAATTCTCGTGATGCTACGGATAGCAGCATTAAAGATAAATATGAGCATAGAAATAAAGAAAAGAGCAGAGACAGTGAGTCGATCAAATCGTCAAAAAGCACAAAAGAAAAATCCGTTAAAGATGCAAAATATTACAAAGAAAAAAGTAACGAGAAAAAGAAATCGAGTAGTGAGAAGTGTGATAAGCACAGTAGTGAAAAATATGATAAACACAGCAAAAGTAAACCGAAAGTTGAGCAGACAAAAGAAAGTTTTGACAAAACTAAAGATATTTCTGAAAATATCAAAGATAACGCTAATAAACTCAAGGACGAAAAACTCAAAGAACCAGATAAGAAAGATAATGTTAATAAGGAGGTAAAAGATTTGAAAGATATTTATAAGGAGAAAATCAGAGAGCTTCGAGAGAAGAAGGAATTGACAGAGAAAGAAAAATTGAATAAGGATAAGGATATTAAACTTATGAAGGAAGTTAAAGACAAGAAAGATCCTCTTAAAGATAAAAAGTCTAATAAGAAAGAACATAAAAGTTCATCATCATCGTCATCGAAAAATCCCTCTACAGGTTATCATGAAAGTAAAAGTAACAAGACGTCGGAAAAAATTGTGGATGGAAAAGACAAAAGATCAGAGTCAAAAGATAAAGCAAAACGAGACGAGAAACGATTGTCGAAAGAGAATAAAAGTTATTACAGTAGCAAATCAGACTTATCGGACAAATCTGATAAATCCGATTCAAAGAAAATTTCCAGAAGCGAGAAAGAAGATAAGAGTGGAAAAGCGGATGTGAAAAAGGATGTCAAAACGAGCGGCGAGAAAACAACGAATGGTAAAAAGGATGTAAAAAGTCATTTGCAACAAAGTAAAAGTTCAGATCGCGCCGAGAAATCGGATGGTAGAAAAGAATCAAAAACCGACAGCCCGTCCAAGGATAAAAAGCGTAGAGAAGATAAAAAATCCAAGACAAAGGATGACCATTCAAGTCTGCGAAAAAACTCGAACGATCGGCGTTCTACCGATAGGGATGGCTCGAATGGCTCAAATAATAAGACTTCACCGTCCAACAGTTCAAATTCTAATGTGACAAGCAACAAATCGAGTACATCGAATTTGACGAAAGAAAATCATGTCAGTAACTCTGGCAGCGAAACGTCGGATAGTATTGAAGAAACGCAAGTTAGTGATTCGAAGTTGTCGCATCAATCAAATTGTAAACTATCTCATAAAGTCGAGCCACGACTACCAACAAATGATAAGAATCAGAAAATGGAAATTGATAATTCCAATGAGGCATATGATAAACAGGAAGGAAAAGAAGAAGAAGAAAAAATACAGACAGCCATACAAATTTGCCGTTGAAGAAGAGATTGCTATCTAATAAAGACGACGAATCAATTTCTGGTGACGTGAAACTCAAGAAGCCAAAATTTGCAAAAAATATACACGAAGCTAAGAAACTGATGAAAATCAGAAAGCAAATGGAAAAGCAGAAACTTAAAGAAGATAAGAAAGTAGAGAAGAAAGTTGCACAGGAAGATCAAATGAGTCAATCGAATACGAAGAGCATTGATAATCTCGAAAGTATGCCGGATCATGAGCGTGTTCAAATTATAGAGATTCCTGACGAGGAGTATGAAGAACCTTACCCCGAGAAGCACGAATCCCGTTTAATGTTGGATGAAAGATCAATAATAATGCCAGGAACCGAGTCGTGTTCAAATGAATTCTTAAAAGAGCTAAATGTAACGCAATCTTCGAGTGAAGCAGTATCAAGTGTATTATTACGGGGAGTACAAGTCACAGAGGATTCAAAAACTGATAAGAAACATGACGTGCCATCTAATATTTCATCTACTGAAGATACGGAAGATTTACAAGCAGCTAATAAGAAACATAAGGATAATTCTGAAGAAGGTTCGAAGAATGAGATATTCAAACATTTGACTGATACAGAAAGATATTATCTGCAAGCAAAGGAAAGTATTTTACCTAAACTAAATGAAATTGCTTCAGAAAAATCAGAATCTCTAAATCATAATGAGAATAAAATTGTGGAACAATCAATTGAGGGAAATATGAAGTTACGAGATAATCAGACGGAAACACAAGACGATAACGAAGAGACAAAGAATGACCGATCGAAAATACGAAATGATGATAAAGAATCATCGGATGAAAAGCAGATAAAAATACATGTGTCATACAAAACTGACATAATAGACTCAAATAGCGAGTACACGGGAACCAAATCTTCATCTTCCGTGATAAGCGAGGATAATGAAGATTGCCGTTACTTCAAGACTGACAATGAGAAATCAGAAAGGTTCTCCAACTTTCTAGAATCTCTAGAACTTGTCGAGAACTCGTCTTTGGAGGACATAATAGAAAGTCTAGGTGGCAAGGTAGTTTCCTCGATGCCGAAATCTATGGCGGCACCTCCGTTACCAAAATTGCCCAAACGTTCATCCAGTCCTCTATCAGACATATTAGTGAATAATTCGGATAACAACAATGATGGCCATAAACGAAAATTGTCATCCTCGCCCAATGAAGATGCAGTACACAACGTGAAGAAGAGGAAATTTACTAAAAAATCGAGATTCTCAAATTTGTGTAATCCCCAAGGGATCTCAAATGGCGAGAACTTTGTCATGCCTTTGAGCCCCGACAGCGATGTGTCTGCAACGAGCGACAAAACAGCATCATCTACTGTAATCAAAGAAGAAAAGAGGTACGTTACACATTCTCAAGATTTTCACATAGTGCAAGATTGTACATGTAATTGTTTTTCTAAATGCGTGAATTGACTGTATTAGTCTAAATAAATATTTTCTCAAATACTATTTAAAGATAATCAGATCTGTCTAACGTTATTATTCCTTCAAATTGCAGCCGTAATAGGACCAGTCATCAACGATACTCGAGCGATGACTTGTATAAACCACGTCCATTATTTTCGAGTTCTTCTCGTCGAAGCAGACGATCTAATCAAGCATAGCTAGCGCTCCTGGGATTCAGGTTAAATAAGCTTATATTTCATGTGATTTCTAAGCATATTTATTTCATTTCTTTACATAACAATGCATATGTCGATAATTCCTTTAATTTAACAAAACATTTTATTTCTCTGTTATTAAACAACACATACATAATTAATTATCTATAATTTTTTGAAAGTCGGTTAATATATAGTATATTTCTTTTTTTTACAACACTCCAAGCATTTTATATTTCAAGTGTTCGTTTATATTTGAAATTTTAAATATAAAATTGCGTTAAAAATAGTAAAAATTAATTAATATCTATAAAGTCTTTTTAATAGATATTATTAATCAGTATTTTAGTCTTTCAACACTTTAATAGATAAGTTGATTAAATATTTCTTTTTAATTCACAAATATATTTCGAAATAACAAAATATCAATAGTCTCAAGTAATATCTTCCATATAATAAAATCTATATAAGTGTTAAAAATTATAATGTTTAATATTACAACAAAATTGATTCCATAAATCTCCAAGAGTGCAAATCAAGTAGGTATTTTTTCTTCTACAACAATATGCTCACTTATTGATCAACTTTGTTGTGCGAATCACATCTATTTGTACGTATGTATATATACATATATATTTATCTACGTGAACGAGTGTTCGTAGATACATGTTAAACACAACTTCCAAATTGTTAAAAATGTCAAATTTACACAGGAATAATTGTCAAGTTATCTCTACAATTTCATTGAATTTAATATGAGACAAATATTTAAGCACAATTGTTCACAATTATTCTTGTAAGTTAAAAAAATTCATAAAAAAAATCCGTCTTCAGTTTTATGCAGAAATGATTTACTGAAATAATGACTAAAAAGTATGTAATTTATTACTTTAATCGTGCCGATTTTTTATTTTAACAATGCGAATTATTTATGATAGCTAAACTGTAAAACTGAATATATTAAAAATATGTATTATTTATAAGGTTGCAATAATGTATAGATTAACTTCCCACTTGTATTACCAATTCTACAGAAAAAATTTTTTATATACATTTGTAGCTTTTATACCGCAAATGATTTAGCAATTACTCTTTTTCAGAAGTATCCTCACGCATCTCCAACATATACATGTATATATATATGTGACCTAAAAGAATAAGATTCTAATTGCTTAGGAATAAGATAAAAAAAGAATTAAATAAGCGCCATGCGATATAAAATCTAATCTTAAGTTCCTAAGACTCAGTTCGAGCTATATCTCACGTTATTAGCAAAACTGATAATTCTCTTATAATTTTCATGTTTTTCATCTTTTTTATGTTATTTATATCATTGTCTTTTAATTTGTTTTCCTTGAATAATACTCGGATTATAAAGTAATAGAAAATGATTAGTCGAAGTCTAATGTCTTTCATTCATCACGATACAAAAGTTTCATGAAGAGCGGCAGCATAAAATTATACAATATTACATCATATGTATTTTTAGCTCTCTACTTTAAGAGAATTCTTAAGTATTGTTTCTGTTGGTATAATATTCCGTAATCAATAAATTTGTATAAATGTGTACATACCAAAGACATTTTACTTCATTACAAAACATTGATCACATATAATTCCATGTTTTTAAATGTCTTTAATCAATTATATTTGTGCTATATTATACAATATTACAATATATTTTTAGCTCTCTACTTTAAGAGAATTCTTAAGTATTGTTTCTGTTGGTATAATATTCCGTAATCAATAAATTTGTATAAATGTGTACATACCAAAGACATTTTACTTCATTACAAAACATTGATCACATATAATTCCATGTTTTTAAATGTCTTTAATCAATTATATTTGTGCTATATTTAAAAAATGTAAATAATTTTTCGCTAAAATATTTAAAATCTTAAATAATACAATAAATATATTAATGTATTAAATATCAAAATAGTATATTTAATATTATTCTAATACTATCAATATACATTTATATTTATTTTTAATATAAATTGATAATATTTTGATATTTAATATCAAAAATATTAAAAATTTCCAAGAAAATTTTGTATGTTTATTAACTAAAATTCAATCTTCGGCAAATATACATCTCAAAAAGTATATAAAATTCATGTTTCTTAAGCAAAGTAACAATGGCAGTAATTCCAGTAGTTCGTTTCGTGCGTTTAATTGATCTCGAAATTATCTGGGCACGTATACATATATTTGTATGCGCGTTAGTTCGTTAATGCTAGAACGAAGCTTCGCATTAGCACTCGCGTTTGTGCGTCAGTCCGAATCTCGTGCGATTGATGTCAATTTTCGGTGATATTCGCAATCATTGGCCGCGGGGGAAGGCCCGGATGAAAGGCGCATGAAGGAGTTCTCGTTGCGTCGCGATCGGCGGCTACCGGCCGACGCGCCGGTCGATTCTAGAACCGTCGTGCGCCAATCGACGGGCAAGGTCGTCGCGGCTATGTGCGAAGATTACGAACGATACGGCGATGAGATGCGGTATTAGATGTAATAAAGCGACGTTGCACGCCGACACTTGTTTACTTTCCGCTACGTACTCGTCGCGACCGAGTAGTCGCGTATTGCACGCAGACTTGACCTTGTCACTTTAACCGATTCCCCCCTTGCTCGCGTTGGAAAACGCGTAATGTTGCTGTCCGAGCGAGCCCGTGTTATAGTCGCTTTTTTTTTTGCGCATTATTAATTGAAATCGGATTTGCGCTCGCCTCAGGAAAAGAGAAGGGCGAAGAGAGAGAGAAGGAGATAATTCGTGTTTTCCGCAGATTAGCTGACTCTCAACGTTGGAGTTTATCGCTCTCGCGACGACGGACGTATTTATGTTCTCCGCGACGGGTTTGCATAACGCTGACTATTGTTCCGATGTTTAAATAATAAACAAGGAAAAACATATCGTCCGCGTGTTTTCCTCACTCACTTGGTTGCGCACACATCGGCTCGATAAAACATTCATGAGGCGAGGTGAAAATATCGATATTACGAGTCTCGAAGGTGCATGTAAAATATTTCACGTCAGCTAGGTTCTAATAATAATAATAATAATATATATATATATATATATATATATATG